CATTATTATCAGTAAGTAGTGTAGTTCCGTCTTTGCTGAGAAGGGAACAGGATGATGGTGGCCTAAGTCCTTATACCGTTTTTAAAGTATCATACAAAGTTTTCATACCATGCCTGTCTGCAAAACGCTGAATCTCATCATCTTTATTGCTTAGATACAAGTCTCGCATCTGGCGAAGTTTGGTCTGAACAGTTCTTCTAATATTACTGAACGAGTCCTTCTTTGATACTGAATTTGGATCACTTAGCAAAACTTTTTAGAGGCGGTGTTTCTTCTTCTTCTTCTTCACTTCCTCTTTTACCACTGTGAGTGTCGAGGGAGATATAAGGTTCTGTTTCTAGCTCTTCTGGCTGCCTTGACCATAGGCACATAACATTGCCATGGTCAAATACCGTTTGATCAGTCCGTTTGTATCTCATTTTGATTTCTGTAGCGGCGGTGTTTCTCCATTAGCAAATGCTGAATATATTCGGAGTTCTCGTCAAACCGGTCCCAGTGTCTCTAAAGCTGTGCTATAGATCATATCTCTCAGGGTGGTCCATGTATCCTCCATATTAGGGCTGTCTAAGGAATTGGATTACAGATGATCTTCCAGCGTGGATACAAAGTGATCTTTTGTGGATTAATTTCTCAACCTGGAGATGTTAATACTTTTTTAAGTCTTACTTCCCTGCGGTCGTCTTGGTGGTTGAATGCGGAGGTTCATTTTTGAAACGATGAGACGATGGTCTGTCCAACATTCAGCGCCGCACATAGACTTAGTTACCCGTAGGTCATGTCTGTCGTATTTTTCACTACTACATAATCAATAAAATGCCACTATTTGGAACAGGCATGCACCTGGGAGGTTCTGTTACGGGTAGGGAGGCAAAATAAAGTGTTTGTAATACTTAGTTCATGTTCTGCACAGGCCTGAAGCAGCAGTATTCCATTGTTATTAGAGTTGCCAACTCCATTTCTTCCAATTAAACCGTCCCAAGTGTTAAACTCTAGCATTGAAATCGCCAAGGGTGATGCGTTGTCGTCTTTTTGTACTAACTGGATTACAGCTCGCAGGTCTTGATAAAATCCGTTAATAGTCTCGGTTGTGTTAGTAATTGTTGGTGCATATGCACTTACGATTGTGGCATTGCTTTTTCCATAAAACAGTGGTACTGACATCATCATGAGCCCATCTCTTTTTAGGGTTTTAGTCAGTTTACCGACTAATATGGTCTTCACTGCAAAACCCACTCCGGCTTCTCTGTGCTTTTCGGGACATCTACCACTCCAGTAGAAGGTGTAACCTGCACCAACCTCGCAGAGTTCGCCCTCACCAGCAAGTTCAGGGCTGCAATGTCGATTTTGTATCTACCAAGTTCTTTCTCAATCAGGTGCAGATGCATTTTCTCTATCCATGAGAGTTCGCACGTTCCACGCGCCGAATTTTATTGGTATGTTATGAGTCTTTCATTTTCGTTTTTGTCGACCGCAGAATAGGGGATGGTTCCCTCCAGCCGCGGTATGCTGGCCGGGATATGGTGGAGCAGGCAATTTTTAGGGCACTTCCTCATGCCAAGAAGGTAAGCAGTGTTTTCCTAAAGAGGGATGCTCAGGGGGCTGCTGAAGTCCACTACTGTTCCTATCAGTGGACGGCGACCACATAGCCTGAGGCGCCTGCGTGCAGGTCTGCAGCTACGGCTGCCAACGTAATCCACGTCTGCCTCTTCGTCGTTCGCCCATCACCACAGGATTGTAAAAAGATTGAAGAGGATGATAACAGGATTAAAGGTACTTGCGCAAGGACTTGGATTTAAATGAGGAAGAGCTCACTCTCTCGCCTGTGTCTATCTTAATACAATGGCAGGACAATGTCGAGACGATTGGAAATGGACCTGGGTGCATTGGATGACCAAGGCGTCTTAGGTGCCCTGCCTTGCTCGAAGCTCTCCACAGAACCACAGCCTTCTCTATTTATCTAGAGAAGGCGGTGACAGAACCTGCTAGTAATCGCCTTTTTGTCCGTTGAACCAAAAAGAGATTTTGTAAGCACAATACGCCGAGTCCAGTCTTTGAATGCAGGACATCATTCATGCGATAAACACCATGTGACACAAAGTGCCACTATGCGGATGAGGAACACCCGTGGAGAGGTCCCGGAAGCCCCTTTCAGTCGTTAGGCCGTATTTAAGGCCCGGCTATATTTAGTGCCCCCTTGCAAAAAAAAAGCCAAGGTGGGGCTTCAAAATAGCTAAAATTGCATCCGACAAGGGGATGACGGTTGAAAGGACGCAAAAGGTATTTATAAATACAAATATTTGGTTGATATTGGATAAAGTAATTAACATCCGGTGCACTAAAGCAAACTTAGTACTGGGACAGCTAACCCAAGGCCGTCGCTAGAGCTGGCCTTGGATACCTCCCCTCCCCCACCCACCCCCCGTTTTTTTTTTTTTTTTTTTTTGCAGCATAAGTCAGACATAGTTATTCACAACAAACCATGAAAGTAAATTAGTAACCAAGGAAATGAGTTGTCCGAAAAGGTCTCACTCTCACACAGGCATGCACGCGAGCGCACACACGCGCGCGCGCACACACCACACACATACACTCACACAAGTAAACATACGAGGCATGGTGTCCGCCTCGAGTGCTAGAGGTTCCGTGTTTAATTCCCGGTAAAGACTGGGATTTTTCACGTGGACTTGGACTTCTAGTAATTCCCCCTGGTCACTTGGCAGTGAACTCGGACGCCCGTGTGCATTGTTGCGCACGAAAATAAAATCTCTTGGCAGTTGGAAATCGAAAAGAGTAGCATAACACACTAACAGCGGGCAAAATGTGGAGTTGAAAATCTACCCAAAATATGTCAGGATTTTCGCCGGTGCTACAGAGTATGTGCGCTATACAGAGCTTCTTCGGAATCAGACGAGTAAGAAGAAGAACGGAGCACTTATGGGTTACTACCCGTGTGCCATGATATTGATCCGTTATTCAAAACCTCAAACACACACCACTCACGGCCTTCTCTATTAGAGAAGGCAGGGCACCACTCCGACATTGGTCTGTACAGAAGTAAAACAAGGGACGTTATTCTGTTGACTTGCAGACGGTTACGTGTAACTGCTGCATATTTACACAATTAGTGCCTTCAGTGCCAGGGATTAATCATTAATTAATGAAATGGAACGATAGAGCACGGCCAGCTCCATATTTATACCGGGATAGAGTTACCATTGGTTCCTGTCACCATGTTTGCAAATGTAGATGTAGCATTTGCAAATGTAGATGTAGCATCGACTCATTATATAAAATAAATTTTAACTGTTTGCACTGTTAGTGTTTCAACAGTTGAAAGAAAATGAGAATCATTTCTAAAATCAAAATAAAAAAATCAGAGCCACATCAAATTTATTCTTCCTCTAAGGAGGTTGAGTCAAAAATTTGTTAATTTATTATATTTTTACTTTAAATCATGACAGCTGGATAGAGGTTGAAAAATAGAATACAACGGGCGGAGATGTTTACATACGACCGGGTGACGAACTCCTTATGGGCTTATGGTCCGGGCTCACGCCTGGGGGTAGGCAGAAAAGCTACATTTTCTCCCAGATTTACGGTATTTATCATGGAATCAAGGCCGAATGGTTGCGATATTCATAGTACCGAGCCAAAGGGTTAAGAACTCATGGTTTCTGGATACTTGAAAAAAAAAAAAGAGTGACGGAAACAAACTACTGTAACAAATTTGGGCAAATTTGTTACTATCATACTATTAATAATTTAATGTATTGGCTCTCCTCCGAACGGCGTGTTAATATTATGGCGGCCATAAAATATCCTTACGGGGCTCAGTTCTATTAAAAATATGCCGGCTCCGTATAACAAAACAAATGCTCTAAGAGGGTCTCAGCGATATGTTACTTGCGTACCTGTTTCTGTGACTGTGCCTCACCGCCGACCGTATCCCCCGCGCCGCTATGCGCGGCATGGCTGGGGGCTAGATGGCTCTGACTCACGAGCAGCAGCTATCGCATCTCCTGCAACTTTCTCCAATTAATTTGCTCGTGAGTCCCAGGTACCTAGTTTAGCTCCTCATCCGCGCGGCGCAGGGGATACGCTCGGCGGTCAGTTTAATCGCGTTTTGCGCATGACGAAAAGTGTGAGGATACAGGTCGGCAGGTCTGACATCTACCGCTGCTAAATCCTGAATCGGAAGAACAGTATTGCTAATCTGTGTGGGAGCGCATGGTCTACCCGCCATATCGCTTTCATCGTCTGTAATGTCTCGAAATTGTCAATGGTCACTATTATCGTCTGCTAGTATCGTCTGCAGAAATGCTTGAAATAGTCAACGGTCACTTTTATCGTCTGCTACTATTGTCTGCAATGTTGCGTCTCTTGAAATTGTCAAGTAATCCTAGTTTTGCCGCAATTTGTTCCTTGGCAGACCGTCCGCATTTTACATATGCCTGAACCCCGTAAGGTTATTTTATGGCCGCCATAATATTAGGACGCTGTTCGGAGGAGAGCCAATTTATTCCCGTAATCTTTATTGTGTATTATTTTTTTGTTATTTTGTCTTTTTTGTGGCAGTTAAATTCCAAAGTAGGAGAAAGGACGCTAGTGGAGTTTTTATATATTAGGTTTTGAAAACATCACTGTTAGATAGAGATTGAATTTCCAACAATGCTAGATAGACTGATAGAGATTAAATTTCCAATCTAACGAACCCTGTAATAACTATTTTCAACTATATTATTTGCAGTTTGGTCAGTGAGTTCAACATTCAACGCCAAAACCATGTTATGTCTGCAGTAGCTTCTTATATTTTAGTATAAATATTTAGTATTAAATATTAAAGAATATTATTATGTAAATTTACACAAACAATCAATTATGTCATATAGGGTCAGCATTTAAAGTATTATTAACTTACCATAGATTATCTCCCTAAGGGTTGCAGTTTGAAGTTTTGCCATTACATTGTATAATTATTTTTTTAAATTGCTCCAGGAAACATGACTTCCCAGGAACAACTGTTGCTGTCAAATGGAGACAGCACAGGCAGTAGGAGTAACAAATTTGTGATAGTCACATTGTCTGCATGGAAGAAGAATTGGCTACTGTTTGCCGGCTTGACCTTAGGATTCTGTCTGTTTTATATCTTGTCTCAGCTGAGTATAACAGAAACATTCAGTTTCCGATTTTTTAACTATGCAGTACAGAATCCAAAATATTCTGTTTGGCCAGAGTTTGAACTGACTCCACCAATTGATGATGTAAGTAAATACAGTTGTGTGTATGTGCAAGCCTATACTTTGTCATATACTTGTCATAGTTTACTTTGAGATTTGTGTAAAAGATTTTAAAATATAATGCTCTTCTGTGACCTACAGGTAGTGGATGGAATGCATAACCCCATGAAGGCTAAATTGGTGAACGAATGCCCATCGAAGTCAGATGTGTTGGCCGAAAGTTGGACATGACTCAGTTACATCTTCAGATAAATGCAGGAAAAGAAGAAGAATACACAAGCCTCTCAGTAAAAGGCGGAAAAATTGGTGGGCTTGTGTAACTTTTACAAAAAATAGTAGAAGATCCTTTTACCATTGTCACATCAGACATGTTACAGTAGACCCATATTTTAAACTCTTTTGGTCCCAAACAATTCACCTCATATGATATTTTATTGTCCAGGTGAATCTTACAACGCACAATCTGATATGACAAATATTGCTGACATATTGACAGTTATAGTAATATATAATATGGTCGATGTTTGATGTAAAGTGTGCAAGGGCTGCCTCTGTTAAAGCTATGCACTCATGTTTTGTTCATTGGGCTAATGTTTCCATTGGATATCTTCTATGAAACCTCATGGGACTAAAATAGTTAAAGAACAATTTGCACTCTGTGATTTGTGTGGTCAACCTCAGACCAGTTAACTTTGCTGAATTCAAGCAAGGCAGCAAAATAAAAGGGAGGTGTAATGACACAATAGGGTGATGTTATTTTAACCCATTCACCCCATTGACCTTAAAAGGTTTCCTCCCCGTGTGGGTTCTGGGGCACTGTTAAAGGGAAAACAAGAATAGACCCACTGCCTACCCAAAAGCATGTCATAAGAGTCAGCTAATTAAGAGCTTCCTTCAAATCAGAGTGCATCTGCCTGAGAGGCACTGAACAAGCAGTCTGCATACAAATGAGTCAGATATGTAAAAGAGAAGCACACTCAACACAACAACCAGAACTTTCCACCAGAGTTTACAGCTGGTGAACGCGAAGAAGAAGAAAAACCTTCCGTAATTCACAAAAAATAAATTTTTTATCCCGAACACAAATATTGTACAGAATAATTATTCAATTTAGCATTGAAACAACTGGCTTATATCTCTTGAGGCCTGTAAACTAATTGTAGCTTGAAACTTACTTGACCACCCCTGACCCGGTAATCACTGTAGCCAATGGGAAAAATATGATGTTTTAATTTCTATAAATAAAGCCACTTAAAAAAAGAAAAAAGGAAACCTCCCTTAAAAGCTACTTTTAGTAAATTTATTCATTCTCTCTCTTGCTGAACATTTGCCCAGACACACATGCAAAGAATTCTGTTAGCTGAACATCTTGTAAACATGTCTCTGTAGTGAATTGGGAAAGCAGACCCTTATTCTTAGTCTTAGTCGAGGTTTTAACTTCACTGCAATCGGGTTGCCCCCTTATTTTCTCCGTTCCTGTGCCAGTGAAGATCAAAGGAAATGTCACTCACTGTCCCATTTGAAAACTGGTGAATAAACAATTATTCCCTCTACAATTCATAAACATGTGCACGCAGTAAATGCATATGGCAGTTGCTAGAGGCACCAAAGCCAACTCTTGCGACCAGAAATGCTGGCTGTACACACGTAGAATTATTACATAAGGTTTTTCACTAGCCCACACCTAAACACAAGCAAACATCTAGCCACTGTGTGATGCCGCTCCTGATTCCCATAAACATAAAATAGTGTGTAAGTATGTTTATTTTTTTTTATACAATAGGAATGGGGCAGAAAGTGTTATTTCTTATGTTATGAGAAGAGAGGCTTTGGAGAACATCATGATGACTGGAAAAATCAGCGATAGAAAAGGCAGAGAAAGACTGAAAAAGGTGATGCTTGATGGCCTGAAGTGATGGCATGGTTGAATGTCATCAGTGAAAAATTGATTCAAAATACTGGGGGTGGGGGCATGAGATCTGTGGAGAGACATAAGCGCCTATGCCGCTGGGCAGGGCACATAATGATGATATTGTCAGTTCTTTGAAAGCTTTCAAGATTTGCCATTTGTATTAAAATAATTATCTGTGAGCTTTGTTTAACTCTGAATGTCTGTATCTATTGCATTTGATCTGATTTATCTACAGGTATATTTCAGATCGCAGTGTGCTAAAAATGGAAAGTATAGTGTCACAGGGCTGTCTGACATCAAGAAAGAATGGGCAAAGTCACGCAATTTTTTATGCCAGTACGAAAAAAAAACTATTTTTGTTTATTATTTATTTCTTCAGTGTTATCATCCTGAGTCCACTTTGACTCTTTCAGTGCCAGTGAGTTGTTACTTTTAACTCCTTGTGCCGCAAGAAATTGAGCTAAATAGCTATACATGTGTATTTAAGTTTGAAGGAGTTCAGTAATGACACTGGGATAGAAATGGTTAAACTTCTCTCTTTTTTCTTTTCTTTTTTAGTGTTCACTGGATGTAAACTCAGGCAGAAAGTTCTGGTTGTTTAGCCACTTCTGCACCTTCTGAACTTGAGTTTTGCCTACACATTCATTTTACAGGTCTGGCTTACTTGTACCTAGACTGCTGGTTTCTCGCCTCAGGCAGATTGACTCTGACCTTGGAAGAAAAATCCCTAATTACTCGCCTATTATGAAATGCTTGTTAGATAGGTAATAGGTTCTATTGTTCCCCCCCTCCTTCCACACCCAAATGGGGCCCTGGAACCCACACGAGGAAGTGGTTAAACTAATAACCTACATACATAGGATTATTGTAACATTTATCAGTGATAAAAGACACTATTTGTCAAATAGGCCTCTTGGCTTGGCTTTCTTTGAAAAACAAAAAATTGTCATGTTCAACCAGCATCCCCAATAAATCTCTTCCCTTGTGTTGGTTAATTCTGTATACTACCCTATGATGTGATACGGATGTGAGTCGTGGACTATCTTCCAGTCCTTAAGAAAGAGAATAGGGGCTTTTGAGCTGAAATGCTATAGAAAGATTCTGAGAATATATTATATATTGGACCCAAAAAAAATTAAAAAAGGAGAAATACTGATATCTTAAAAGATCTGAACATCAAGGAATAAACAGCATCTTGTCTCGAAAGCTGAAATATTTTGGTCATATCAAGTGCCACGATGGATTTGAAAAAATACTAGCAGAAGGCATGATACCAGGAAGAAGGAGTAGGGGCCGACCAACACTTAGATGGGTACAGAATATAAGTGACTCCTTGATTTTGAAAGTACATGAGGCGGGATAGCTGGCGAGAGTTTCTTTCAGGCAGACATTCTGCAAAAATCCTGCTACATGATGACGATGATGATGACCCTATGATTAATTTAACACTTTCTATCCAAAGAAGTTAAAATATTAACACTTTGAAGAAGAACAAGTGAAACTAAGTTAATTTAAGAATAGTTCATGAAAGAATGAGTCAGAAATGTGTGCTGTCTTTGGATCAACCAGTGAACGTGAATTTAGTTTTTAAAAAGAAATTTATCCATGACTGAATTTATATGGTTCACTTTGTTAAAAATCATCCAATATTGAATTCATAAGGGTTTACTTTGTGAAAATCATCCATGGCTGAATTCATAGTGGATTCAATTAGCCAGTATTATAATTTAAAAAAAAAAAAAATGAAAATATTAACCCTTTAAAGCAGAAGGAGTGGAACTAAGAGTCAGTTTAACAACAATCCATGGAAGAATGATTCAGAAATGTGTACTGCTCTTTTAATCAACCAATGAATGGGAACTTTAAAAAAAAAAATCCTCCATTACTGATTTTATATAGGTTATCTTTGTAGAAATCATCCATGGCTGAATTCATGTGAGTTCAGTTACTAAGTATTTTAATCCAAAGAAGTTAAATTATTCACACTTTGAAACAGAAGGAGTGGAGTTAAGAGTTAATTTGAAGGAGTGAAACTAACAACAGTCTAGGAAAGAACGAGTCAGAAATATAACCTGGTCTTTGGATCAACCAATGATGTGAACTTTGTAAAAATAACTTGTGGCTGAATTCATTTAAAAAATCATCCATAATGTAATTCATAAGGGTTCACTGTAAAAATCATCCATGGCTGAATTCGTATGGATTCAGTCAGCCAGTATTTTAATCCAAAGAAGTTCAAATATTAACACTTTGAAAAGAAAATGAGTGGAACTAAGAGTTAATTTAACAACAATCCACGAAAGAATGATTCAGAAACGTGTACTGGTCTTTGGATCAACCAATGAATGTGAACTTTGTAAAAATCATCTATTGCTGAATTTATATGAGTTCACTTTGTAAAAATCATCCATGACTGAATTAATTAATATAGCTTCACTTTATAAAAAAAATCATCCATAACTGAATTTGTATGAGTTCTAATGATTTATATAGTACCATTCTTGTTTTCTTCATTTCTAGGACCTTATATGACAAATTTACTTCAATCTTTACTCTGGAAGCAAGAAAAGCCACACACAATATCCCTGCACCTCTCAGGATAAAAGTGCTTGGCTGGCTAGCCAACAACAATGATTTATATAAAGAGGCACTTGACCAGGTTAATTTTTCTTTTCAAAAATTTTCTTAAATTGGCAACATGAATACAGTTCCAAAAATCCAAAAAACAGGTACTTCTCTTCTTCTTAGCGTTCACCAGCTGTACACTCTGGCGGAAAGTTCTGGTTGCTCGTCCACTACTGAACTGCAGTCCCGCTCCAGAACCTGAGTGTTGCGTGTGCATCAGTTTTACAGATCTCATTCTCTTGAATACAGACTGTTGGTTCTTTGCCTCTCCGGCAGATGCACTCCGACTTCAAAGGAAGCTCCCCAATTAGTAGACTCTTTTGGGGAGGCAGTGGGTCTATTCTTGTTTTCCCCACAATGGGGCCCCGGAACCCACACGGGGGAAACAGGTACTGGAATGGTAATTAAATGGATTCAGGAAGTGAAGGTATTCAAAAACAACTCCTACAGTGAACATTAATAATAGAAGCATGGGGTTCTGAACTGGATTCTATACCAGACATCGAAAGGATTGCACAGGATAAAACAGATCAGAGGAATCAAATACCAGCTCAGTGTGATGTATCAATTAGCACAGTAGAATAATGATGATGATCTGGTAGTCTGGTAGTCTTAGTTTCAGCTTCATTAGCAAACGGGTCACCCCATCTTTGCTCCGCTCCTGTGCCAACGAAAAACACACAGAATGTTTATCACAGTATTAGAATTGCAGTTCAGCATTGATGGTAGCAGAAGTCGCCAACAGATCAGCAGTTGCCCACGCGATCAATTTTAATCACATACTGGCACCACAACACTGCACGACAGGCATCGCGCCATTTTCTGAATCTACAATTCACACCACCACGTTGGTCACAGTCGAAAAAACATTCCAAATGCAATCCGCAGCTCACAGGGTCACGCCATGCATTCAACTCAGAAGCTGGGTGACGAAACTATTTCCAGTCTACAAATGGGGCAAAAATGCATCGGCCACCGTCCGGCAGAAGCAAAAAATGTGCCTCTTTTTCGAACAGTGCCGCTGCCTAACGTCCATTTTGACCGGAATGATGATGATGCATATAACTACAGTTTTACTGGTTTTGAATTTTTCCCCATTTTTCCCTTTATTTTCCTAATGGAACATAGATCCTAAACCAAATCACACCAAGTTGTTTTCATTTGTTCATGGCTGAATGTGTGTGAAATTTCCTTAGATAATGGCATCTGTCAGTCCCTGGGGACTATCGAGATGTGCCACTGGCTTTGGGAACAGCATCTGCTGTGACTGTAAGGTCTAATGTGGGAGTGCCACATCAGATACTCAAAAAAGTGGGTACGCCCTCACTGTGAGGCTGAGTTTCTCTCTGGCGTCTCCTCTCTATAGCTTGCTGCGTTTGGCTTCTTTCAGAATGCGACTATCTGTCATTCACTTGCTGTCGCCACAGTAGTTGATTTGCAGCTGATTTTTTCTCAAGTCGCTGCCAGTCCCTCACATCTTGTCTTGTATTATAGCTTTATTGGGCCAGATCAGCCTCTGCTATAAGGTTGCTGCCAGTCCCTCACATCTTGTCTTGTATTATAGCTTCATTGGGCCAGATCAGCCTCTGCTATAAGGTCGCTGCCAGTCCCTCACATCTTGCCTTGTAATATAGCTTCATTGGGCCAGATCTCCAGCCTCTGCTATAAGGTTGCTGCCAGTCCCTCACATCTTGCCTTGTAATATAGCTTCATTGGGCCAGATCTCCAGCCTCTGCTATAAGGTTGCTACCAGTCCCTCACATCTTGTTTTGTAATATAGCTTCATTGGGCCAGATCTCCAGCCTCTGCTATAAGGTTGCTGCCAGTCCCTCACATTTTGTCTTGTAATATAGCTTCATTGGGCCAAATCTCCAGCCTCTGCTATAAGGTCACTGCCAGTCCCTCACATCTTGTCTTGTAATATAGCTTCATTGGGCCAAATCTCCAGCCTCTACTATAAGGTCACTGCCAGTCCCTCACATCTTGTCTTGTAATATAGCTTCATTGGGCCAGATCTCCAGCCTCTGCTATAAGGTCACTGCCAGTCCCTCACATTTTGTCTTGTAATATAGCTTCATTGGGCCAAATCTCCAGCCTCTGCTATAAAGTCACTGCCAGTCCCTCACATCCTGTCTTGTAATATAGCTTCATTGGGCCAATTCTCCAGTCTCTGCTATAAGGTCACTGCCTGTCCCTCACATCTTGTCTTGTAATATAGCTTCATTGGGCCAGATCAGCCTCTGCTATAAGGTCGCTGTCAGTCCCTCACATCTTGTCTTGTAAAATAGCTTCATTGGGCCAAATCTCCAGCCTCTGCTATAAGGTCACTGCCAGGCCCTCACGCCTTGTCTTGTAATATAGCTTCATTGGGCCAAATCTCCAGCCTCTGCTATAAGGTCACTGCCAGTCCCTCACATCTTGTAATATAGCTTCATTGGTCCAAATCTCCAGCCTCTGCTATAAGGTCACTGCCAGTCCCTCACATCTTGTAATATAGCTTAATTGGGCCAAATCTCCAGCCTCTGCTATAAGGTCGCTGTCAGTCCCTCACATCTTGTCTTGTAATATAGCTTCATTGGGCCAGATCTCCAGCCTCTGCTATAAGGTCACTGCCAGTCCCTCACATTTTGTCTTGTATTATAGCTTCATTGGGCCAGATCAGTCTCTGCTATAAGGTCACTGCCAGTCCCTTACATCTTGTTTTGTAATATAGCTTCATTGGGCCAAATCTCCAGCCTCTGCTATAAGGTCACTGCCAGTCCCTGACATCTAGTCTTGTAATATAGCTTCATTGGGCCAAATCTCCAGCCTCTTCTATGAGTACTGTACATAAGGTCACTGATGTGTCTGAGGTTGCTAATGTCTAAGATTGCTGGTGTGTCTTGGGTCGCAAGATTAGTAGATAACCAGACGACAATGGGTAACCATCAGTAGGCAAACTCTTTGCTTGCAGTTGAGGATGTAGACGGAGCTAAAATGGGCTTGTCCTGAATGCTGTGATGTTGAATCTATATCCAGATAAATTCAGATGTGGTTAGGATTGTTCTTCTCCTCAAGTAAATAATTGTAACATTTCACAGGATGTTGTGCACATTGTGAGCGAATACACAAGAGAGCACACAGTTTTTAATCCACTCAGAGACAAAAGACCTGTGCTGCCACCTGAGCAGTCAGAGGAATCTTAGTAAGTAGAAATTGGGAACGTTCAGAAGTTAAATAAATGCCTTAGCAGTACCCGAATAATTGTTTGATTGATTGTCAGTGTGTATGTATGTGTGTGCTTGCATGTGTGCATGCATGTATGTATGAATGTATGTATGTATTTATGTAAGTGTGTATGTATGTGTGTATATATGTATGTGTGTATATATGTATGTGTGTATATATATATGTATGTGTGTGCATATGTATGAATGTATATTTACAGGCATATACCATTCATTATTGTGTGTATTTTTCTTGATATTCATATTATGCATATTTATATTTCTACATAACATGACTTATAGATAAAATACAATTGCTGTGCAAAAGATGAGTGTTTGGGAGGGCCAAATGTGTCCAAAATGTGACCCTTTGAAAAAAAAAGTTTGTTTATTTATTTGTGGTTGTTATTGTATTTGTAATTGTTCTTCTTTCCCCCAGTTTAGTTTATGCTAAATATGTGTGATTAGGTAGAAGTTTATAGGAATTCAGTCGAATGTAACAGTGACTTCATAACGACAAATTGTTTAAGCAGCTTCTCGTTTGTGTAGCAGTTACATTGTGATATTTATAGATAGTGTAAAATGTTACCATTTGGTAATTCTCTAACTGGCTAGTGTGGAGTCAGTTTTAAGTAATAAGTTAGCAAGGTTATCCCACTGGTAGTATTTTCAAGCACAGTGGAACCTCGGGTGAAAAAACGTAATTAATTCTTTGACTTCACAAACCAAAATGTTCACAGGCCGAAAGTTTTCCTGTTGAATTCAGTACAAATGTAATTAATTCATTTGCCCCCCCCCCCCCCCCCCCCCCCCCCCCCCCCCATCCCAAAACCATACTGCTTTTTGACTTTTGTATGGATTTATGCGTGACAAAAAATATGTAATATAAAATATACAGTAAAACATTACCTTTTGTGGCTGATAGTTGCTGGCACAGGTAGATGGTAGACGAGGAGGAGGAGCGGGAAGATTACTTCTTTGAAAGAGAGTCTCATTCCATAATAATGTTGAGCAACTGTGTAGGTATTTCTATTGTTATTTAATGGGAAGTGGTTCAGTTTCTGGCTCGGCCACTAACAGTAATTTTTATACTTCTAACTTCTAACACTTAACACTATTGCTTCATTAACAAAGTCACTTCTATTGCCACATCAGCCATCTTTGTTTCTTTAACTCTTTGAGTCCCAAGGAACACATCATATGTTCATAGGTTACTGCCTAGAAGCCTGATGAACGCACGATGCGCCGATTTTAGTCTCTTTTGACTACCCCTTGGGCCTGTGATGCTAAACCCTCCGGGACTCAAAGAGTTTTGATAGTGTAGCTGGTAGATTTAGCCATATTGTATTGTTTCGTGAGCTCAGAAATACGAACACCATTCTCTTGTTTGTTTATTTCCTTCGTTTCTACTGTAATTTCTTTACTAACACTTTTCACTTTCTTAGGAGCTATAATAAGGGTTGTGGTAATTTAATGTGAAAAAGAAAACAGGTGTATCAAGAAAAACGCAACAATAAACATTGTTTACAGTGTGCAAAAATGAGTACCTAAATGATTCTGTTTGTTAACTGAAAACACGGCGCCTAATTCACGTTTGTGCATTTGGGCACCGAGGCATAGTTCACAGTGAGTAAAAATTTGTTCAGAAATTGTGTTCGACAGCCGATTTTTCCTGACTAGAGGCATTAATGACCTGAGGTACCACTGTATTGGCTTTTAGGGACAGTCATCACAGGTGAGACATCAGTTAAGGAAAACAGTCAACTTTATTGTACAGGGCATCCCAGCGAGTCTACGGGGTATAGTTGTAACCACGGTAGGAACAGTAGCTTAGAGTTTGGTCACCAGAGCCCAGAAGAAAGCTGAATATAACCATGAATCCCAGTAAAGAAGATCGTGAATATAAAGGATCCCTGGGGCGGTTTGGCTAGGGTACGAACAAACGAACAAACAAACTTTATTTTTAAAGGGTTACGAATTGGGCCCGCAGGCCCGTCTGACATTCAGCCCTTCTAAGCACTCATCTTGCAGAGTGCCAATGCCTGTTATCAATAATGCATGTTATGTATATAATAAAGAAAAAAATATTATAGAATAATGCATACACACATCATGAATACACAGTCTTACAAACTCAAACACGTATACATACTCTTACATTTTTATACATACACACTCATATACAGACATACGTAATACATACATACACGCACCTACATACATACACAGACGTAAAACTCACACACATACATACATAGACATACATGCACACACACATTCCATACATACATACATACATACCTACACATGCATGCATGCATACACACACATACAATCACATATACAGACAACCACATATGCCCACAGTCACACATACAATCACACACATACACCCACATACCTACACACATATATGCATACATACACACATCTATACTTACACTCACATACTTACACACATACATACATACTTGCATACACACACATACACCCACATACTTACAAAGCTACATATGCATACATACACACAGGGTAGAGAGGGGACCCTCTTATTTACGTTGTTGGAAGAATAAACTCTATTTGAGAACTTTACGAGGGTATATGAGTCATCTGTATTAACCATTAACCTTTGATAGTGTTCTTTGAGATGAGCCGGAATGAGTTGAATGTTGGTAATCCCCTAGACCGGGGCCATTCAACAAAATTCACCCAGGGGACAATAATGGTGTATAATGAGGATCCTCTTGGGCCAAAGGCTGGAGCCCTGACACAGAAAAGGGTATTAATACAATACAGTTGGCAGGTGATCTGCGGGTCACTGGCTAAACTTCTGCAGCCTGTTGGCTTTGTCCTAGACCAGTGATTCCCAAATTGTGCACCACGGCGCCCTGGGGAGCCACGACCTCTTTACAGGGGCGCAGTGAAATATTGTAGAAGCTTTATAATTAATTTAATCAAGACAGGAATATTCATACTTTTACTGAGGTTATGGTGCCGTGGAAAAATTGTAATTGAAAAAAGGTGCCACGATCAAGAAAAGTTTGGGAAACACTGTCCTAGACCATCCTTAGATGATAGTACTCATGGCACCAGGGATAGAAAGACTGGAACCTTGACAGTGTACAACAGCTGATCTGTGATAAATCATCCTGCAAACAATACGATTATATTCAAAGATGGCTCTCTGGCTAAGGTGAAGAGTGTGTGGAGTTTTATGACAAAAGGGAATAGATTTTGATAATCTCTAGTATGACGTCACAGTGTCCAGCACACATAAGAATGGAGGTGGAGGTGATAACAGCAGCTTCTCAGGGACAGGGGAGTCTACAGCTTGCTGTGTTGTATTTGTAATAAACTTGCAGATCATTCTTCAGAGAATACACTGTAAGTGAAAGAAAGCACCTATCTCATCAACAGTTGTCTCAGGGTTTCTCTTGGATGTATTCATTTCCTCAGTATGTTTGTTTCCTATGTAAGTGCCTGTTATGTGATTTTCTGTCCACCTCTCTTCAGGATGTGTCCAGTGTATCATATCATATTTGTGACTGTTGTACAGTAATATTTTTTGTCCCTGTTTTCAGCTTCAGTGATATTATGAACAGCTCAGCTAAAAATTGTGACTTTTGCAGATTCAAAAGGTGAGTGATGTTGGTTATTTTCAAAAGAGACATTTTCTATAGATTCCTGCTGCTGTAAACATAGAGGTGAGGGCACTGCTAGATCAACATTCACCCCTGGAAGATATCAATATCTGCACAGACGGATGAGTCAAGCACGGATCAAGGTCAGCAAGGGCATACACAGCACAAAGGATGGGGAAAGCAATAAAAGAGAACATCAGCACTTACCAGGCAACTACCTCAAGCATGACCATGGAGATAGCCGCAGCTTCTAGGGCACTAATATAGGCAGCAGAGCAAAAAGCTATGCATGCAGTAATTGTATCAGACTCCATGAGCATGCTTGAGAAGATAGCAACAGACTGTATGCGCTCTGAATGGGTAAAAAAAACATTTTAAAATCGCACTTTACCTTCCTCACCTGGATCTCTACACACCTGGTCCTGTTAGTATAAAGAGTAATGAGCGAGCGGACCATTTGGCAAACAGTGCACCAAGAAGCATGGACAGAGCAGATATTGTCAACTCTGTACAGAACAGACTAGTGGATAATGATGAATCTCTGAAACTAACATGATTGCATGACATGGGAGTAAAGCTTGGTGAAGCACGACTTCGAGGTCGAGATAGGAGACAAAATAACCAACATCTCATGGGAACAGTTAGTAGAAGTACCTTGGAGTGGCTGCTGCATTTGAGGAGTGAGCACACATGGGAATGCCCAGTGTGCAGTGACGTCGATTGTGATGACATAACTATTTGTTATCTGGCCGATTATGCATTTTTCATTCCTGTATATTATGTTCAAAATAATATCCACAGATAAAACTGGCTGTCAGTAACAATAAATGAAGAAATTGAAAATGTCAAACTGAATATCTAGGCCCTATAATAAATAGCAATGGAGACTGTTTGAGAGAAATTAAAAGGAGGATGGCCATAGCAATGCAAAGATTAAACAGCATTAAAAGTCTATGGTTAAGCACCAGCAAGAAGCTCAAATTAGAATTTTGAGAGCATGCATCTTCCCTGTAGCAACATACGGATGTGAGTCGTAGACTATCTCCCAGTCCTTGAGAAAGAGAATCGGGGCTTTTGAGCTGAAATGCTATAGAAAGATTCTGAGAATATCTTGGACAAAGAAGAGGAGAAATACTGACATCTTGAAAGATTTGAATATCGGAAGTTGAAATATTTTGGTTATATCAAGCGCCACGACGGATTTAAAAATTAATAGCAGAAGGAGGGGCAGGGGCCGACCAACACGAAGATGGGCACAGGATACAAGTGACTCCTTGAGTACATGAGGCAGGAAAGCTTTCGAGAGACCGAGTTTCTTTCCGGCAGACACTGATGAGAGATAGATTATGCAAAGGACCTGCTACATGATGATGATATTATGTTCGAGGAGAATTGACTCATAAACAGCATCCTGTCCCGAAAGCTGAAGTATTTTGGCCATGTTAGATGTTAGGGTAGTCTGGAGAGAACGGTGATGCAGGGTGCCGTTTCTGGGAAATGAGGCAGATCTCTGCAAAGTTGAATACATGACCATTGAAGATGCATGGCTTTGAAAGCACATAGGGCTGGAGAACTTGCTAGAGAGTTGAGTTGATTCCTGAACTGACATCACAGCACTCGGGGCATTCTCATATGCGCTCCGTCCCCATCTTCAGCAGCCAGAAAAGAGCTCTGATACTAATGGTGCCAGCAGCATTCTGATTAAACGTTCGTCTTGCCTTTCCTCTGAGCCTGGAGCATCTGCCAGAACCACTGGTCACTCCCTGCTGCCTCAATCTCACCAGACTGTGATGATCCATCTGCTCCCCCGAACTGTACACGCTCTCCCACAAGGCACCTACCACGTCTGCCTTATCATGCATCAGTGTTCGCTAGAGAAAGAGACAAAAAGACTTGCTGTGATGAGAGCAGCAAGGTCTGTAGACGACCTGCTGATTTATCAGGATTATATATTTTGTCTAATATCTGTTCCCATACAGATTATGGCTTTTGTTCTACTTTTTCTGCAAAGTTTATCATTTGACCTTTTTTATCTTCAGCCAGATATGTAGCCTGGTTTAAACGATGTTTATGTTTGCCATAATTCAGTGTAATATTAATTTAGAATAATCTATCTTTCCAATTTTTCATCTGGCTGTATAGAACTTCTTTGCGTACAGGTATTTAGCGATAGCTAATTAAGTTTTTTCTCACAGGATGTTCTAAAAATGTATTTGTTTGCACTGTAATTTCAGACAATAGTTTTTAACAGCCTGAACAAAATATGAACCTCTAAATTATATAGTTTAAAAATCAAGTTACACTTTTTAAAATTCTATTATTTTAATTTTAATATATGCCAGTGCAAGGTGGAGAACCACCAAAGACATGGAACAAAAATAGACTGCATTCAAAAACACATCCTTAAAGAAATTCATAAACATAAAATGGGATGAATTCAAGAAGGGCAAAGAAATAATAGAAATGTCTAGATGACCTCTTGTGTGAAGTAGTTTATAAAAAGACCATTGACACAAGAGTCACTCCATGGAAGAGATTATGGCTTTACCACAAAACATTCTCAAAGACAGAAGCAGATGTACACATCCACTGTGGCCACTCTCTGTTGAAGAGACGGCACAGATGTTTAATTCTTTCTTTTTTTTTTTTTTAAATCTTCTTCATTTTCACCGGCTGTAAACTCCGGGGGAAGGTTCTGTTTGTTTGTCCACTTTTAGACTCTATTCCAGAAACTGAGTGTTGTGTGCACATCAGTTTCACAGATCTACCTCATTTACATGTTGGTTCCTTGCCTCTCAGGCTCCCAGTTAGTCGACTCTTACGACATGCTTGTTTGGGCAGGCAGTGGGTCTGTTGTTTTCCCAGAACCCACACAGGGATCTAATGTGGTTTTTTTTTAAATTAAAAAAAGAAATGTAGCATGGCATCAAGTCACAATTTTTACATCCTTGCAGATGCATACCACAGAGTTCCTTTGTTATGTGTTATTTTATTGCCTGTATTTCCCAGTTTCACAGCTGAGCACACATTTGGACGTGTGGAATCTAAGCATGCCTTCTCTGCATCAAACATCTTTAAAATTGATACTCTCCATGCTTTGCTGGTCTTAAAAAAGCATGATCCTTTGCATTGGAGCTTGGAGGAATTTCTGGATCTGTTTCAGCTAACAGAGACCTGGTAATTCTGTGTTGTATTTGCCATAGTCACTTGTGATGCATTAGTTCTGTTAACATTTCAGTTAATACATATAGGAATGTTTAAGAACGTTAACTCTTTCAGCCCCAAACGATGCAGCATGTGGGCCTGTGTTTACTTACATGCACCAGTTATCAGGGAGCAGCCGTGGTGTATTGGCTAGACACTCTTCTGCAGATCCCAAGGTCTAGGGTTCAAATCCTGATGGAGCCATACATTCTCCAAAAATGATCCTGGCTCCCAGTTCGACCCAGCCTTGAACAGGTACCAGGTAACGTCCTAGGAAGTAAATTTGGCTGGAATGATATTGACCGCATCACCCACCAAGTGCCGATTGGTCTGTATAAAATATAAGCCTAGTCCTATGTGACCAGTATGCTTGAAGTCATGGAAAAGGGTCCTTTACTTTACTTTTTACCAGTTATATGTTTATTGTGCTTGTATATTTAGGTTTAGTTGCTACAACACTATTATCTTGATTCACTGTAATTTGTTTAGGTCTCTCCACCTTTAGATCTCAGGACAATTCATGTAGCTTTGTTAGGATGGTTGAACCTGCGACCTGCCTAGTTCATGTTCAAATCAAATACCTTAAGGAAGTTTAATGGAAGGTAAAGGGGCTTTCGGGAGTCACCCCGGGCGTAGGGGCTGGACGCTCATGTGTGGATCAGAATGTTGTAGGTTCGCTCCCTGACGGAGCTGGACTTTTTTTCAAAAATTACCTTGACTACCAGGTCGACCCAGCCTTGAATGGGTACCAGGTGCAGTCCCAGGAAGTAAAGGCGGCCAGCTTAATGCTGACCACATCACCCATCCTGTGCCACTCGGTCTATAAAATATAGGTCTAGCCCTATATGCCCTATACTCCTAAAGGCGTGGAAAAGGGACCTGTACGTTTTACTTTTACTTTTTTTTAAAGCAGCTTTCAAGATATTGATCACATCACCTATCAAATACCAATTAGGTTTAACATACAGGAATAGCATCATATGTCTAATATACCTTATGTTGTGAATAGTAATCCTTTACCTTTTTTGTTCATGCTGTTTTCAATGATACATCCATTGAAAGAGGTGAGGGCTCGAAGACATCATCTTATCACAATCATCGGAAAGAAACAGTCATCATTTTTTTAAAAACATGTTTTGAGAAAGAGGAAACTGTGACCACTTTAAAGATCTGTGTAAAGTCAACAGAGGAAGACAGCATGAGCAAATTCTTAACAGCGTTTTGTCATGGCAGGATGTCAACACACGAACTGATACACGCAGATTTTAGAGAGGCATGATTGCCCACACGCCAGTCAGCAAGGCACTTGATGATAATGATGATGATCCACATCCACCCCCCCCCCCTCTTCTACCCCCACCACTCCCAACTGCTACTTGAAGGTTTGACCCGGAGATTACAAAATCTCACTCTGGATGGCAGACCAACAAGGCAGGTCTAAGATGCGCCTATTCAACTATCAGAAAAGTTATAATTATTAATGGGGCACCCACAACGGCTACACTAGCCCAGGGTAACCTTTAGTCCAGTCTGGGTAAGGATGTGATCATTTATTTTTTAATTCTTCTTTTCTCTACTCCAGGAATGTTTCGTAGCGACAGGGCAGGAAGAGATTTCTGAAATGGGCCCTTCTGTTCACTTCATATATAGTGTTATTCAGTATCTTCCGTATTTCTATGGTCCATCCTGGGCGTGGTCGACCTCTGACTATGTTGCCATTATATCTGTTTAAAGTTGCTCTCTCTGGTGCCCTGTCTGTTGCCAGTCTTGTTACATGGCCAGACCATTTCATCTGTTGTCTACCAATAGAGATCACTATTGGTTCTGTGCCAACTCTCTTCCTGATATCATTGTTCCTAAATCCATCTTTCTTTGTACACCTGGCATGTTTTTAATTTATTTTATTTATTTTGACCCAGGTTAGCTAAAGCACACAGCAATAACCCAAAGGCTCGCTACCCTGCTGTTATCTGGGACACTCTCCCCAAATGTGGAGCAAGTCAGGTTCATCCTCATATGCATGTGGTGTTGGATTTTGAAAGGTATCATGGTAAGAATGTTACTACTGTTTTGTGAGGGTGTGTGATTGTTTGTGTTACTGTTAATTTTTAGTGCTATTACTGTAAGACTGTTCCTGATAATTTTGTGTATGTGTTTTACTGTTAATTTTCAAAGATTTCATGGTAAGACTTACTGTTGGTTTTTGTGTGTCTGTCTTCTTCTTCTTTCTTCTTTGCTCCACTCCTTCGTACATAGTACTTTTGAGCATCTCTAATATTTGTGCGGTCCATATTTTGCGTGGTCGACCTCTGGCTCTGTTACCGCTGTATCTGCATAACACTCCTCTCTGTGGTGCCCTGTCTGATGCTAGTCTTGTACATGGCCAAACCATTTGACCTGCTGTCTACCTATAAAGTTCAGTATTGGTTCTGTGCCGACTCTCCTACTCATATCATCATTCCTAAGTCGATCTTTCCTCATTACACCAAGTATGGTACGTAAACATTTCATTTCTGTCATGACTATTTTCCTAGTGTCCAATTTTGACACTGATAGCATGGCGTAAGAATAATGTGTTGAACAGTGTTCATTTAGAGTTCATATTCACCTGCTTGCATTTCAGAATTGGTGCCATTTGGCCAAAAAAATGATTGGCTTTATTGCTGTATTTCTTTCTTTTTTTTTTTAAACTTTTTTTTTTTTTTTTAACATTTGTCCATCTTCTAAATAATTGTTGCTCCCCAGATATGCAAAATCATTTGCCTGCTTTAACTTGTGTTCATCAGTTTTGATATTGGTGGTTCTTCCTTTCCTGGAGAATTTCGTAACTTCTGTTTTGTCTACGTTGATCTTCATATCATAGCTGTCGCTTCTGTGGAGTCTATTTAATATGTTCTTGTAGCTGTACTGCTGTTGGTGCTATGATTGCCTGGTCATCAGTGAAGAGCAGTTTGTGTGTCTGTGTTACTGTTCATTTTGAAAGGTATCATGGTAAGATTGTTACTACTGATTTTGTGTATGTATGTGTGTGTGTGTCTGTGTTACTGTTCATTTTGAAAGGTATCATGGTAAGATTGTTACTACTGATTTTGTGTATGTATGTGTGTGTCTGTGTTACTGTTCATTTTGAAAGGTATTATGGTAAGATTGTTACTGCTGATTTTGTGTATGTATGTGTGTGTGTGTCTGTGTTACTGTTCATTTTGAAAGGTATTATTGTAAGATTGTTACTACTGATTTTGTGTATGTATGTGTGTGTGCATGTGTTTTACTGTTAATTTTGAAAGGTATTATGGTAAGACTGTTACTACTGGTTTTGTGTATGTGTGTGTGTGCATGTGTTTTACTGTTAATTTTGAAAGGTATTATGGTGAGACTGTTACTACTGGTTTTGTGTATGTATGTGTGTGCATGTGTTTTACTGTTAATTTTGAAAGGTATTATGGTAAGACTGTTACTACTGGTTTTGTGTATGTATGTGTGTGTCTGTGTTTTACTGTTAATTTTGAAAGGTATTATGGTAAGACTGTTACTACTTCTTTAATTCTGTTTGTCTCCAGTGTTGCTTTTTCCTTGATATATTAGTCGTTTTATAAAAAGTACCCAGCCGGTTTAAATACACCAATAAACAATAAATTCACAAACTAGAACAAGTGAATAAGTTCAGAATGTTTGAAGTCAACGGTCCAAACAAGAAATAATATCAAGAATTGCCAAAACAATATCTTTCTTTGCTAAACAGTAATTATTGTAGAAATAAAAAAAAAAAAACTTAGGTAAAAATATGATTGCTTAGAACTGTCAGTTCCTTTACATACATGAACCATAGGCCTTATTAACTTGAATGGAAAATGCAAACATTAAAACAAGACTGTTTTGAAGGATAACATGCATAACATGTAACATGCAGACCGCATCACAGTAGGTAAAGTTTGTTGTGTCATCATATTGGCAACAATGAACCTCTTTTAACAACAAGAAAAAGACAGAAAATTTTATGGGGCGGACATGTTACAAGCTTTACTGACCTCTCCAGCGCGATGTTACAGGGCCAAAACATCTGTAATAACATTTGTCTCAAATAGAGTAACCATTTTTTTAAATTGACAAAACAGTTTAAACTTTTGTCCAAAATACAAATAATGCTCCACTGACACATTATTTTTGAGCTGCAAATCTCTTGCAGGACATTGCAGAACCAACCGCAGCATTTTTGGGCTGTTTGTGAATTCACTGGGACATTTTATCAGTAGTTTGCCATTGCTGTCTAAACGGTCATCTCTTGATTCCACTGTCACGCCAACACAAGGTGGTCTGCTGCCAGCTCGCATGTAGCTGGGATCAAACCCAGCACCTCGGAATAAAGAAACTCATTCGACTGAAACAGCTTTAAAAAACAATGGTCTCAAAGACAGTAACAGTTTTTAGCTGTCGTAATTGTTAAAACTAATCACAAATTCAATTTATTTTTGTTGAACACATGTCTAGTAACAGTTGTCCCAAATATAGTTAATTTTTTTTTAAGCTGCTATAACTTAAAACTATTGTCCAACACAATTAATTTTCAACTGACTCAACTTCAAAAATACTGGTCTCAAGGACCATTTCATTGAAATGGAAACATTTTAGTTGACACATTTGTTAAAAACAGTAATCTTAAATTCAGTTAATTTATAGACAGCACATGTAATAACAGTTGTCCAAAATACAGTACAATTTTAGCCTCTTTTACTGTTAAAACAGTTTATCCCCAATGCAGTATAAAATTAGTTACATATCCTTTAGAAGACATTGCATAGAAACCGACACATTTTTTGCCTGTTTGTGATTTTAATAGGCAATTTTATGTTCAGTAGTTTACCGTTGCCTACTGAACGATTGGTGCTCCATACCATTGTCAAAGGCTGTAAATGAAAAGATAATTACTGAAAGAAATTAAAAAAACAAAAAAGATGTATTTGAAATATTTTGGCCACATTAAAAGACATAATACCCTTTGAAAACCGTTCTGATGGGAAAACTGGAGAGCAAGAGGTAGACAAATGGGAGGACAACATAAGAGATAGATGAACAGCAGTCTGAGAGTGTAAAACCAAGACAAGAGACCGAGATAAATGCAAGGCGGTCTACAATATAAAGTTATATTTATGATTGCAGGTGAGATGGAGGCTTGGAGGAAAGGTGCCCAGGATTATTTTGTAGCTCACAGTGCAAACTACTTTTCGGACTTGGTGGCAATATATGCAGCACTCAATTTAACTGTGACTTACGGCAAGGCAGTGGCTTTTGCTAGTTTGGTAAGAATATTCTTTAATCCTTTTTTCTTATTTTGTTGTTGTTGTTGTCGTCGTCGTTTCTGGTTTTCTGTATTTGTCTTGCGCTTCCAGGTGGCTTGGGTGATGGATTTGTTCATCTTTTTTGCAGGTTACAGCAACACCATTTATCCATCTCTTTCTTGGTCTTCCTCTCGCCGTCCTCCCAGATGTTCTGCTGTATAGTAGCAATCAGTTGCACCACTGCTGGCTTGCTAGGCCTGCCATGTGGTTGGTCAGGAAACAATCTTACCTGGTTGGTGCCCATCTCCTTTCAGGTGAGCCATTGCCCTGTTAGTCTGAAACCTAGCGGCTTCAGTTTTCCAGCGTGCACCATTAGGAGGGGGGTTGTCCTTGGGTGCTCTACTGGTCATTTGCAGGCTATTTAAATTTCAAACTTTTCACCTCTCTGAAGAAAAGCTAGCCAACCTTAACACTGCTGGCTGCAGTGCCAAGCGCCCGAGACACACCCTTACATACTGGTAAGAATAATAATTATTGTAATTTGTGTATTTCTTAGAAAGGATTCATATTTTATTGTCACAGGTCATGTTCACTTGTATAAGTGAATCCTCTCTGCCAAATCTACAGAGAAGCAAAGAATATAATTATGTCTGCTGAGAGTGACTTATAATAAAGCCAACAAGATTAATTAATCAGCAGTGAAGACAGACCACCCAGACAGAAAATATACCCAGAGGACCACTACCTGTGAATTTCCCCCTAAAAGAATTAAATTAGCTCTCCCAGTCTAAATGGTAAAGGAGAAGGATTCATTGACTGCTGACAATAGATCCCCTAGGGTTAAGTGTTTATTATGTATTAAAAGAAATGAACATTTCACTAAGGGGACAGGACATTTCATTAACCAACACAGAACAGGTCTCATCAGTCGTTTTACACTTGTGAAGCTTTTGAGGAGGTGATCGGAGCACCTGTGGATCTGTCCGTAGTGCTGTGATGATAATCCTTTCTAATCACTAATCTTCACAAACTTTTTATGTTCACCAACACGTATAAAATCAGTTCCATGAACACATGATGTATTACAGATAATGGAATCTATTGCAATAATGTGAAAGTTTGAATCATAGGATCAGAAATAATAGGTGGGGTTTTCTGATTCGTGCAGAGTGGCTTGATTTCACATTTAGCTGCTGTTCTGGCTTTTTTCGACTGCTTGATCAGCCACCACTGATTCACATACAAGATGTTGATTCTTCAAGGCCATGTTTGACAGTCAGATATCTACATGGAACCCTAGCAGGTATTTAGTATGTCAAATTACACAGTTTTGACATTAGACCAAAGAATACTGCTACTGGCATAAACATTTGACACTTCCCGCTCTGATCTGTCTTGTTTAGGTAGAAAAGGTTAAAATCTTTACCGGGACTTACCTCCAGGCAAATTTTTATGTGAAGCGAGCTCTTCTGTGCATTTTGCAGCTGTCGTCCATCTCATTATTGGTATGTTATTTTGAAAATCGAATAGTGCTACATGATCACTATATATTAAATACAAATGCAGACATTGCCTGAAGGCACCTGGTGACATTTGTGCTTAATGATATGTTGAAATCAATTCTTTAGTAATAAACCTGATGAAATACACCGAAATATGCCGGGAAATAAATTGGGCAAAAGATTGTTTTGGTCTCCATTATTTAAATAACAAGAATTTTTTTAAATAATAATAATAAACAAATATGAAATAGAATGATCAGAAAGTTTCAGGGGACCCAAGATTTGTGCAGACAGAAAAACATGGTTTGGAAAATGCATTTGCCTTAATAAAACAGGCAGTTGCTTTTGAACATAGTCTCTTTTATACGTTAGTTGGCCAGTGGCAGTATCTGTTATTGGACTGCTTACATCAAAGAGACTAGGCCTTTAGTTTCAGTTTTACAGAGACAGGCAAGAGGTATAAAAAGAAAGGGGAGCTTACAAAAAAAAGTGAAGAATTGGCATATCTGTGTATGTCTGGTGTACGTCATGGTGTTAGTTATTTGACACAGAAGATTAAATATGAATGGATTCTGATAATCTGTCCCACAGGTGCCCAGAAAGGACCATGAAGTAGTCATCATTGCAGAAAAACCAAACACTGATTTTTACACTCTGCTCTATTTTGTTTTGAGAGGTTGGTGAGCACCCTTGTTTGTTAGTCAATTGATTTTATTTTAAAATCTCTGTATTGAAATCTAACTGTACTCTCAAGCTGGACATTTTGAATTTGTTTACTATTTACATATGTTCCGTCTGTGCACATATCTTTGTTAATTAAATGTAGACTGACAATTAAAAAATGGACTTATTTTTTTATGCCTGACAAACAGCAGACAATTAATCAGCCATTTTGATTAGCTAGTGAGCAGTGTGTGCAGATTAACATTAAATTATGTTTTAAGTGAGGGGAAAGTTATATTGAGACAATTGAATTGATAAATCATGTATTTGGGGATCAGTGTTTATCTCATGCGTAGACATTCAGGTGGTATTCAAAACCCGTGGGGACACAGATTACCCTTTGCATAAAGCTCTGGACACAGTTAAGGGTCAGCAGCTGATAAAAGGGAAGTAACGAATGGCCCAGGCAGAAGAGATGGTCAGACAGGTCTGCATCTTGAAGAACATTAGGCGAGCAGAGGAGTGGGTCAAAGTGCCAGAGGAACAGTCATATTTGTTTAGTTATAATCATATTGAGCCGGGAGTGCAGGTGCAACGAAGGTGGAAATTCAGAAATTATTTCAAAATAATGCATGCTCTGAGGATGTGGTTATTTATACAGACGGTTCAGTGTCAAGAGGCAAAAGAAGTGCTTGGGGTTTCTTAGTAAAACATTAATTGTCAACATTTGGTGCAGGAGAGCCTAGCATATACCACACCCAACATCCAGTTTAAGAATGAAGGAGGATGTGGCCACTGCAGCTTTCCACTGGTTTGAGAACATGACATGCACACACATCGTGATTGCAACTGACTTGGAAAGCATGCTAAGGAAGATCAGGACAGGCTTGCTTTGTGCAGTGTGGAATGCTTTATTGCGGAGGTCATGGGTTAGGAGTGTTGTCTGGATCTTTTCTCTGGGGTATTGTGATGTGTGGTGGCTTCATGGGGATGTGTGTCGTACCAACGATGAAATAGGCCAAGTGGGGTAAACAGTAGAAAAAACTTAAATGCTTTCCAACGTTAAAACAATGAACGCTCTACGATAGGTTCCATGGGTGTATTGATATACCAATGATCAACGGATGAAAACATGTGCAATTAATAAAGACTCATTCAACCACACCAACACGAGCCCGCTCGACATCAACTGACTTCATAACAAATGACGGGTCGCAGTCCGACCTTGGAAATCCGGACAATCACAACGATCTCAGTCCGACCTTGGAATCTGGACAATCTCAACGGTCTCAGTCCGACCTTGGAATCCGGACAATCTCAATGATCTCAGTCCGACCTTGGAATCCGGACAATCATGACGATTTTCTCTTCTGCAGCCTGAAAAAGGTAATATAAGTATACCGGCTTACTGCCGAACGGAGTAGACACTATACCAGCTTTCTGCTGAGTTTATAGTGGAGTCCCGGGGTAGAGCATCCTCAAGGATCCAACTTTGATTACCATTCCTTCAGTGGCATCCCGGGGTAAAGCATCCCCAAGGATCCACACGTCTGTCTCTTTCAGACTGTAAACATCGAATGCTTTTTGACAACAATCCCCTCACTACCTGACATATTGTTTTGACATCTTATTTGCTCACTCAGCACTGGTGCGTTCTAGTGCACATCCGCACTCAACAGGTATGAAGGTGTGTTGGAAAATAAAGAGGTGGGCAGACTGGTTGGCTCTGCACAACTTGGTGAAATATTGATGCGTGATAAGACAGATGTAGTTGGGCCATATGAGATAGCGTGCGCAATTCAGAGGAGCAAGTGGATCACCAAAGTCTGGTAAGAGTGATGCAGTGTGGAGCGGAGAGGGGTTCTGGCCGATGCTTAACGCTCAGAGGAAAAGCAAGGTGGACGTTTACTCAGAATGCTACTGGCACCATTGGTATTAGAACTCTGCGCTGGCTGCTGAAGATGGGGACGGAGTGCTTATGGGAATGCCCAGAGTGCTGTGATGTCGGTTCTTGAATCAGCTCAGCTCAACTGGTGGGGAAACTGTTGCAGATGAATCTAAGCCAGTTTTAGATAATAATGATGAGCTCTTTGTTAAAATTAGAGAGTGGAACTAAGGGTTATGGCAGATGAATTTGGTATTAACTGAGAGATGTAGTAGTAGGTAACTAACTGTCAAGGAAATCAAATGTAAAATTTTGAGATCCTGCATCTTCTTTATAGCAGTATATGGATTAACTACCAGTCCTTAAGGAATAAAATAGGGGCTTTTATGCTGAAATGCTATAAAAATATTCTCAGAATACCATGGATAAAGAAGAAAAGAAATCTCTCATTCTAAAAGATTTGAACATCAAGGAAGATTGGCTAACAAACAGCATTTTTTTCTTGGAAGCTGAAATATTTTGGCCATATCAAGCGTCATAGTGGATTGGGGAAAAAAATAGTAGCAGAAGGCATGGTCCAAGCTGGGGCTGACCAATGTGAGGATTGGTGCAGGATCTAAGTGACTGCTTGGATAGGAAACTGGAGGAGATGAGAGAGCTGGGGAAAGACCAAGTTTCTCTCAGGCAGACTGTGATAACTGTGGCGTTCTGCGAAAGACCTGCTACGTGATGATTTATAATCAGCATTTGATGGGTGATATGCTTGACATATTGCCAGTGCTTTTGCTTCTCATGAATTTCCTTTTACCCGTTTTAGGCAGGGCTTATATTGGACCCTAAAACTTTAAAAGACAATCTACCTTGAGGCAGATTCAAACCCCAGACCTTTGGGCTAACAGGCAAGTGACTAATGACAAATCTCCTAGTGCAATATTTCAGACCCTTAACTGTCAAAGAAGCCATTTAAAGGCATTCCCATGTGGTTTTCAGCACCCTGTTGTGGGAGGGAAAGCAGAATAGACCCAGTACCCCCCTAACAAGCATGTCTTCAGAGTCCACTAATTAGGGATGTCCCCTTCAAAGTCAGAGTGCCTCTGCCTGAGAGGCAAGGAACCAACAGTGTTCACACAGATAAGCCAGATGTGTAAAGTGCATGTGCATGCAAAACTCAAGTTCTGGAACAAGACTAACGTCCAAAAATAGATACACAATTTGAATTTTTAAAGTTTACAGCCAATGGTGAACACGAAGAAGAAGAAGATTGAAAATGCTTTCTCAAGTGCAGTAGGTATTGATGATTCAACTGTTGTTTCTTTTACAGCCTTCATTGATGATTTACATAAGATGTGCTTCTCCATGGGTGTAGGACTGCCTGCTATAGTAAGTATAAGAAAGAAAATGAAAGCCACACACATGACGATTTGCATTCTTTTTCTGTTGGCACCTTTCCTGTTGATAATGTTCTATTCATCATTAGGGAAGCATCAGAATCACAGTCCAATGTGATGAAAATTAAGGACAGAGATGAAGTTCCTCATTTCCAGAGCACAAAGCCTGGATGGTATTGTAGAGAGACTGTGTTGCTCATGGCCTGCTTTGTTTACTGGAGAAGGAAAGCTAACACCATTATGTTTAAAACCAGCCTTGCTGCAGAAGCTGACTGATCATCAGTGTTCACACTTTGAAGGGTGTTTGGCATATTATGTTGTGGTTTATAACTAGACCCAGAACATCTAGTTTCTTAATCTTTTAGTCCATGTCTTGTGGCATTCTTAGTCATGTCCATCCACAACCTTCTGCCTCATTTACTTTCAGTCAGTTCTAACAAAGATGTTCTGCCATAGTTTATGCCGTGTCTTTCTTGATCATATCTATCCCTAGCCTTTTGTCTCATGTACTTTCAATTGAATCTGACTCAGATGATCTCTCCCATAGTCCATGCTCTTTGGCATTGGTAATCATGTTTATCCACAGTCTTTGGTCTCATGTACTTTCAGTCACTTTTGACACACATGATCTTCCATAATCTATGCCGTATGTCTTTCTTAGTCATTTCTATCCACAGATTTGTGATTGATTTACTTTCAGTCAGATCTGACACAGAGGATCTCCCATAGTCAGTGCTTTTTGGAATTGGTAGTCCTGTCTATCCATAGCTTCCTAGACATTATTACTAGATAGTTATTACTTTATTAGTACAGTTCTAGACAGTTGTTACTTTAATTGCTGCAATCCCAGGCACTTGTTACTTTACTGCTACTGTCCTAGACACTTGTTACTTTAATTGCTACATTCCCAGACACTTGTTACTTTAACTACTACAGTCCCATATAGTTGTTACTTTAACTGCTCCAGTCCCATATCGTTGTTATTTTAACTGCTTTAGTCCCATATAGTTGTTATTTTAACTGCTACAGTCCCATATAGTTGTTACTTTAACGGCTGCAGTCCTATATAGTTGTTACTTTACCTGCTGCAGTTCATGTAGTTGTTATTTTAACTGCTACAGTCCTATACAGTTGTTACTTTGACTTCTGCAGTCACATGTAGTTGTTACTTTAGCTGTACAGTCACATATGGTTACTTAAACTGCTACAATCCTAAATATTTATAATTTTAATTGCAACAATCCCACACACTCGGCTCTTTAACTGCAATTTCCTGGGATAACTTTGTTTAAACCATTATTATTTTTTTTAAGAAGACTAATGACTTCTCCTTTTCTCTAGACCCTAAAGAATCTCTTTTAACACCCCAGCTTTGAAGAGGTGTTCAGTACCAGCCTTGGTATATATCAAATAAAAAAAGAAAAGGTAAAGTCTGGATATGTGAACCAGCGTTATTGCACACGGTTATAAACCATAAGTGCTCTGCCACCGGTACGGACAGCTGATAAGAAATTGTCCACCTGTGTTGCTGTCCGCACGCAACTCCGTAGCTACAGCGACGTTCCTCCATTGCAGATTTCATTTGAAATGCCTTTTGACAGTGCCCAATGTGGTTTCTGTGGGGAACTGCATATTCATAAAACAGTGAGCAGCCTGCTGCCAGAGAAATGGTGGTGTCTGATGCGATTAATTGCATGCGCAACTAATGATCTATTATCCAAAACAGATCACCACATAGTTGCTCTGTTCCAATGCCACGCAGAAGCTTGTATTTATGGTCTCAGATATTATAACTGTCCATTACTAGCATGGGCGACCTCCAGCTCTGCTTTAGTTATTAGTCTAAGTGACAAGGCTCTTTGTGATGTATTATCTTCTGGTAGTAGTAGTAATTTAAACAAAAATATCCATTCCATCCGGGCTATAATTGGGATATATAAAGTATTTTTGTTCTATTTCAGTAATGGATATTTATGCAGTATCACATAGCTTATGTATTAATTGTTATAAATTATTATGTTGACTACATTTTAAATGTACTTTTAAGCATCTTCCGGGAGTCTTGAAACATTCTGAATTATTTGAGCTATTGTTTGTTGATGCCTGGTTTCATTCCGGCTTGTTTCCCTGATATCATCATTCCTGATCTTCTCTCTTCTTGTGACACTGGTTGATTCATTGTAGACATTTTATTTGAACTGCAGCGGATTAAAGCTTGCTCTAAGAAACAGCAACAACCTAAATCTGACCCGTTCTTCTGGGAAATAACCACTGACCATAAGGGGACTAATAAGACAGAAAAGACAATTAAAATCTGAACTAATTACTATACACTGTTTATGAATGTTAAGTGTTTAATTTTGCAGGATGTACCAGAAGGAAGTCTGCCAGCTTATGCCCGTGTAATCACTCGGGGATATGTCACTGATCTACGCACCGATATAAGCTCTTTAGAGTTGTTTATGGTAAGTTCTAAGTTACATTACTTGTGTGTGTGAAATCTGTATATTACATTCATGGAACAAAATCAACTGAGTTCAGCCTCCTGTTTACAAAATTTAAGATTGTCAAGACAACTGTGTGCACGTACTTGTGGACTGACACCTGAGACAACAGATTACATCCTCCAAGACTGTCTTAAATACAAATCTCCAGGCAAAACTTCTGACCAAGAGAGACATTGGTGGAAGCCAAACTTTACGGGCTGCTAAGTGAAGCAAATCACAGAGAAGTTCATACTAGAGACAGCATTGGAGTTATAGATAATTTATTTCAAGCGAGCAAAAGAAGTAGAAGAAGAACTGGGTTCAGTTTATGTAAATAACATAATGGTATATCAGAATCGTAAGTGTGGAGCTCATGATGATGATCCAAGAAAATCGTGTGAATCCGGAGATTGACCACATCACAGTTTTAGTGCCTGGTATTCTATCAAATAAATGTGGGTCCAGGCCTGCAGCTTAATAAAGAATAATCGTGGCAGAAGGGTCCTTTACTTGTTTTTACTTCACTGACGATTTTATTTCCCCAGTATAGTAAAGGGGAGTGGTTTTTTTCATCCTGTTAAGTCAGTCTTTCCTCTTGTGCTGAGGGTGGTACAGAGGTCATAGCTCTCCATGTCTAGCAGTTTGTTGCCACCTGTTTTAGGTCTTGGATATTTGTTAGGCCCAGGGTTGAGCCTTCCCTGATGATTCTTCTATGCAAGTTCTCTCTCAGTCTTCCCCGTTTTATTTTATTTTCCGGTGTCCATATGAGGGCTTGATGGGGAAGTCTTATCTTATCCATTCATGGGGAAGTCTTATCTTATCCATTCATGGGGAAGTCTTATCTTATCCATTCTGAGTGCATGGCCGATGTAGTTCCAGCGGCGCTTTCTTATAAAACTGGATAAATTGTCTTGCTTAGTCTCTTGTCTTATTTGCGTATTGGATCTGAAATAAGTGCAGTCGAGATTTAGTATTCTTCTAAGACATCTGTTCTCAAAATTGTCAAATCTAGAGCTGCGGTTGCTTTCCGGCCCTCGCATGTTTATAGAATACAGAGAATTAACAGACTGATGTTGAGTTTTGATCGAGAACTAAACAATTTCCAGTGAATCTGAGAAACAATCAGATAATCAGGTTATCGCAGTTCCAGTTTCATAGAAAACGGATCACCCCATAGTTGTTCTGTTCCCATGCCAACACAAACCTCACAGAATGTCCATCACTGTCCCTTGTGAGAAAAAAAGTGACACAAGCAGTCTCAGCACAGCCAATAGCATTCACATGCATTTTATGCATAAGGCAGCCATCATAAGCTCTAACACAAATAGTCCGGCAGTAGAATTGAAGTTGTTTATTGATGGAAACACAGTGATAACAGATCATTAGTTGTCCATGCAATTAATCACATGAGGCACCATCATTTCTCTAGCAGCAGGCTGCTCACTGTTTTATGAATATGCAGTTAACCATACAAACCACGTTGGGCACTGTAAAAAGGCATTTCAAATGAAATCTGCAGCTCACAGTTCTGCCCCATGCACTTAGTTTAGTAGCTTGGCAATGGAACTATATCCTTTCAGTCTACATATGGAGGAAACTGCAGTGGCCCACTATTGCCGGAAGCTAAATCTTGGCATGACTAAATATTGTAATTCTGCTTATTCACCATATTGATTTAAAGCAAAATAACTATGCTAAATAAAACACAAGATGAGAAAACCTGGTAATAATATAACTAGAATGTCCTTGCACTAGAACCCACATAGCCCAATAAATAAAAATAAAGGGAGACCCACACACACACACACACACACACACACACGCACGCACGCACGCGCGCGCGCGCGCACACACACACACACGCACACACACACGCACACACACACACGCGCGCGCGCGCGCGTAGACAAGATAATTAGATACAGATGAATAAGATAGGGAGGTCGTGGGCGAAGCTGCACTAAATGAAAAATGTTAAGACTTTGTACTAGAGTCTTGACCTGTGCTCCATTGGGAGCTCATAGTAGAAGAAAATGGCTGTTGTGCTTTGAATAAATCTTCCCAAAAATAATTTGGGGAGCGTCCATATTTTTAGTTATTGGCGTCTGTGGCTTAGGCGTTGTGAACGCGCTTTGTAATGCTGGGGTGCCGGATTCGATCCCAGCTTCGACAGTAATACCGAGAGGTGACCATTCAGAAAGCAATGGCATACTACTGAACATATACTTTGCCTAGAAAAACCACAACAGCCAAAAACTGCTGGGATTGGTTCTGTAAAGGATACGCAACTAACTTTTTTTTATTTTTTTAAGCTACAGCATATTCTGTTATTCCTAACCCTTTTCAATGTACAAATGATATTTTTTAAAGCCACACTGTGGGTTGAACAGGGTTTCTGAAACCTGTCCCTGTGTGATCCTTGTCTGAATGGTGGCACTTTGTGTCACTTGGTGTTTATCGCTGATTATGATGTCCTGGTGAGGTTAAATGTCAGTTTTAGACTTCAAATATTAATATTGTAACATATTTTGTTATTTGTTATTTTCAGACTACATAATTTATTATTCCTCAAATTTTCAGGCTAAAAATGTTAATAATTTCAAACATTTTAATCATTACTGAATTGACAGTGATTTTCTCCTCCATGCCTGAACCTAGAGGTTACACGCCTCAATGGCCTGTGGAGCCGCATTCTGGATGTCAGTGAAATGTCTTATTTTTTCATTTCTTATCTTTTTCATGCTAACAATGTTAACATTTAGTATTAGCTGAGGCTTCAAGCTTTAAATGTTAGTATTAACAAATTTTATTATTCCCTTAAATTTTCAGGCTTTAAATGTTAGAATTTAACACATTTTCTTATCTTTTCAGGGTTTAATTGTTAGAATTTAACACATTTCCTTATCTTTTCAGGATGTAATTTGTAAAATGTAACACATTTTGTTATTTCTTGTTTTGTTTAGTCTATAAATGGTAATGTTCAACAAATGTTGTTATTCCTTATCTTTTTCAGGCTACAAATGTTAACATTTGACACGGATTATTATTTCTGATCTCTTCTAGGCTACAAATATTAACATGTAACACATTTTATTATTGTTTATCCATTTTAGATTACAAACGTTAACATTTAACAAATAATTTTATTTAATTCTTTATCTCTTTTAATCTACAAATGTTAACATTTAACACATTTTTAAGGCTACAAATATTAACATTTAACACATTTAATAATTCCTTACATATGGTAAACAGATCTCAACATTTAACACGTTTTTTTTTTTAATATCTTCCAGTCTGCAGATGTTAACATTTATCACATAATTTTTAAAAATTTTCTTATCTTTTTTAAGTAAAAATTTTAACTTTTAACACATTATATTACTTTTTTTTTCCCAGGCTACAAATGTTAATATTGATCCCTACAAAACCATAGAGATTGTCAGACGCTCTGTAGAGCACAGATCAGAAGAGGCACAGTTGAAGCATTAATATCATTAACACTTGAAGCATTAATATCATTAACACAGGAATCATATTTATATGTGCACAACTTTGTTCTTTTTTTTTTAAGTTCATGGAAGAAAGGGATGATTTTTTTTTTTTACTGTTTGCAAAAGAGTTTTCACTTTTTAACTCTTTCAGTCTCACATAGGTTTCAGTTTAACTCATAATATCTTTAAATTTTTGGGGGGTTTTGTGTGTGTGTAACCAATAAATGTTTGGGCCCAGTGAAGTTACAGTGCTGACAGTACTTAATTTTACATTCAGTGGTTTGCCAGTGCTTTCAGAACGCAAAACTAAACTGCCTGCGCCTGGCTTGAACCCTGGTATGTCAGCATTATAAAACTGCATTTACAATCCATAAGCCACAAACACTCATTTATTTGTACATATGAAGAAAACAGAAGGTGACAATCATCATTTTTTGGGTCATGTTTTGAGACGATGACAAATGGAACATGTTGTGACCACTGGAAAGATCTGTGGATAGAGAGACAGAGGAAGACAGCGTGAGAAGATTCGTGATAGCCCTTTGTCATGGTGTGGACGAGTGTCAGCAGACGAACTGATGCGCATAATTGCGGATCGTAGATTGTGGAGAAGCATGTCACCCACGCCAGTCGACAAGGCACTTGATGATGATGATGATGATGTGGACAAATCAGTATTTTGTTTCTGTCCCTGTAAGATAAAATGTATATTATATTCAGTGTACTTTATGAGAATGTTTGTATTTTTATGTTTATTATGATTCTTATGCTTTGAATTGTAGATGTTGTGAGCGTGCACACGCGTGCTCACACGCACACACACAAAGTTCTTTAGACTTACAAGTGACTTTCTTATCTGTTCATCTTGTTTCATGTTTGACAGTAGTAGTATTTCTGTAACCTAAGTGCTTGATGTTGCTGCTGTAGAAAATTCCCAGACATCTAGGACTAGGTCTTTGGCTCTTAGTCCCTAAGGATTGTCCTGGATTGCTTTATTCTTATAATTTACAGAAAACAGTTTTTTAAATGGAATTTTTTTTGGGTAAACAAAACGGATTTGGCATCTCACTGCCCATCTTATATTGTGGGATAAGAGTTCTATTCCTGATAACTTACAGAAAATAATGTTTGTCAAGAAAATATTTTCTGTAACACTTATATAGAAAACAGTTTTTCCCCAAGAAATCACTTTTTCTCAAGGAAACACCTTTGTTGAAAAGACACTTTTTTTTTAACAAAAACATTTGTTAAAAAAAAAAAAAAGACATATTTTATCAAGGAAGCACTTTATATCAAGAAATTATATTTATCAGAGGTGGAAAAAAACCTACTGTAAACTGAATATGGTGTTTTGCATATTTTGAGTTTCATATCGAGGTATATCATTGGAAGTTGGATGTATCCTTTTCCACACTTTGAGGTGTGTTAGGTGTTTGGTACTAGTCCCATATTTTTTCTTGAGCCAACCTACACTCAGTGTACTGAATATCACAATGTACTGTCTGACTTTACTACCCTTAACATTTCCTGGTTCCTCATTTAGACTGGGTCGACTTGAGAGCCTAGGTCAGTTTTAAAATCCCTTCCTTGATAGAGTTTTGAAAAAAAAAAATTATGACATGTTAATTTTGTTTATTGCTTGTGTGTAGTATATTTTCATGCTTCATTGTCTTCCATATTGTAGTATTTTTTTGTTTTTTACATTGTTAGATTTGTCAGCTTCTGGTATTAGCTTATTCAAGATAGCTTTAAGTCTTGCACTAGTCAGCTGCAGCATGAATTGTTTGTTCAAAAATGCTATGTTCTTCTGTACATTCATAAAAGACAATTTAAATCTAACTGCATTTTGAAATATTTCTTGTTGCCTTCTTCAGGTTTTAAGAATCATACATGAAAATAAATGTATCTCACAAATTAAGAAAATTGAAACTCCTTTAATCCTAAAGTCCACTTGAGTGCATTTAGTTACCTAATTACACTGTATTAACAGCATTTGTAGGTGTCAACAAGTTCATTTGAGTGCATTTGGTTACCTAATTACACTGTTTTATTAGCATTGTATATATCAACAAATTCACTAGAGTGCATTTAGTTACTTAATTACACTCTCTTATCAGCATTTGTATATGTGGAGAAGTTCACTTCATTGCATTTACTTACCTAATTACACTGTATTATCAGCATTTGTATATGTGGAAAAGTTCACTTCATTGCATTTACTTACCTAATTACACTGTATTATCAGCATTTTTTATGTGGACAAAGTTCACTTTATTGCACTTACTTACCTAATTACACTGTATTATCAGCATTTGTATATGTGACAAGTCCACTTGAATGCATCTGTTTACATAATGATGTCTCTTATCTGCACTTGTATATGTGAACAGTTTCACTTGAGTGCATCTAGTTTCATAATGATGTTATGTCTATGCGATCTTATGGCTTTTTATCATGTGTATATATCAACAATTTCACTTGAGTGCATTTCGTTACATCATGGTGTTTGTTATTTATCTAATCAGTATTTATTACACAATTATATTATCTTATCAGCATTTGTAAGTGTGAACAATTTAACTTGAGTGCATTAACTTATTTTATGATGTTGTATCCAGTCAGTATTTTTAAATGTCAACAAGTTCACCTGAGTGTATTTAGTTACACAGTTAAACTGTCATATCAACATTTGTATGTGTGAAAAAGTTTATTTGAACACATTTAGTTACATAATGATGTTGTATGATGTTATGTTTTATCAGCATTTATATGTGTGGACAAGCTCACTTGAGTGCATCTGGTGACTATCATGTTATTATTTCATCAGTGAGAGCTGCCATGGTGTAGCAGCTAGATGCTCACCTGCAGATCAGAAGGTTGAGGGTTCGGGTCCTGGCAGAAACAAACTTTTTTTTTAAATGACATTGGCTCTCAGGCCAGCCCAGCCTTGAGTGCGTACCAGGTACAGTCCTGGAAAGTAAAGGCGACTGGCGTGATGCTGATCACATCTGCAACTAACTCAGAGCTAGCCAAGTCTATCAGCTCTTTCATTGCAACACTCACATAGGCCTGGAGAAAAAAATGAAGATAACTAACTGCGCCCACATTGGAGTTTTGAAATGACTCAGCCCACTGTGTACAGAGCCCTGTGATTTCAACTTGAAAGCCTGATGTGGATACATTGATTTTTTTTTTTTTTTTATCTCAGCATTACAATGTATATTTTGTTTATACGGATATTGACAATCAGAAACTGTTATTTTTCATAAACACGGTAATCAAACATATTTGATTCATCCTGTCAGAACTGAATTATATAGTTAGGGTATATTAGCTTTATTTGATCAGTCAAACTTGTGTGTACATTTACATGATTGCATGTGTGGTAAGGGAAAATGGGTGAGGGCATACATATGCAATTGTGTTACTGACGGCTGGAGCCAGGTAATAAATATTATGCATGCACATATGAATGAATAAATAAATAAATAAAATATACATGTATGAATGCGGACACAAAAACCACACACACACATGATAACATCACATATATGTATAACAGGCATATGTATGCATGTGTGTGTATCCAGCCGTTTCATGCATACATGTAAGCAAAGAAATAGAGGATACATTCAAATATAAAACGGTTGGACACACACACACACACCAACATCACATACACACATGCTTGCCTACAGATAAACCAGATAAATAAAAGACATTTACAGACAGCTGTATACCCACACACCCAGGCACACAGGCATCAATATGCACACACACACACCAATATGCATACTTATGATTTAAGAAATAAAAGATACATTCAAAGGCAGCTGTACACACACTCACACTAACATCACACACATACATACACACACACACATACACACACGTTTGCAGATAGACACACATGCATGCACACCAACACACATACACATGCATACAAATTAATAAAAAAAATAAAAAGTTCCTCCGATCCCCAACATACAGCCAGAGTAGTACTGTATTGACCTCATGTTCTTCATGCCTCATGGTTCCTCATTCCCCCTTCTTTGTTAACTCCAAAGGTAATGTAACACCCATGTTAACTCTAAAGGTAATGTAACACACAAACATTTATAAAGTCCCTTACTGCGACTGCTTTGTTAACTCCAAAGGTAAGGTAACTCCCATACATTTATAAACAACGGGCTGCAGAATAACTTTGAGACGTGATGTGTCATTTGTATCGTTGAATTCCTTGAAATGCCCTACTGAAATCAATCGTATTTTAGTCATTTAAGTGTCTGACTTGTTTTTAAGCTTAGTCAGTTTTTCAGATTTGACTTGTTTTCAAACGTAGTCAGTTTTTCAGTTTTTAAAATGTGATAATGTTTCTGTATTGAAACGTGCACTATTTAAGTATCTGGTCTGCGTGATTTTTACAACTGTATTAAACATGTGGTTCTCATTATGCATGAACTCATTCATGCTAAACGGGGCCCCATTTGATCATCCCCCCCACCCCAGCATGTTGTAAAAGGCAACTAATTAGGGGTGTTTTCATCCAAGGGCATTTGTCTAAAAGGTGAGGAACCAACAGTCTGCATACAGATAAACCAGATCTATCAAATGGATGCGCGGGCAAGACCAGCGGGCAAATACTTTCTACTGAAGTTTACAGCTGGTGGATGCTAATATTCACCCTTCCATCTACAGGCCGTATCCCACAGTTCTTACTAACAGAGTGGGATGTATGCCACTCAGTCATCAAGGGAAGATGGGATATATGCCACTAAGTCGTCAAGGGAAGATGGGATGTATGCCACTCAGTCATCAAGGGAAGATGGGATGTATGCCACTCAGTCGTCAAGGGAAGATGGGATGTATGCCACTAAGTCGTCAAGGGAAGATGGGATGTATGCCACTAAGTCATCAAGGGAAGATGGTATGTATGCCACTAAGTCGTCAAGGGAAGATGGGATGTATGCCACTCAGTCATCAAGGAAAGATGGGATG